GTTGCTGAAGGGAGGTGAGAACTCTCAATATGATTTCTGAAACTCTTCTGTAAATTTTAAAAAGATTTTAAAATAAAAAGTTTCTTTTTAAAAAATAAGAAAACAACATAAGGGAAAGGAGATAAGTGACAGACTGATGTCCCAGGATTAGGCCCTGGAGCCAAGTGGCAAGTGGCACTGGCCTTGAATAGGTGAGGAACACCTCTCTCCTCATGATGAGAAGAAAGGATACTTCCAGTAAGATGTAGGAATAGGCAGACAAGCGACACAGACCCTCTTCAACAAAGAAAGAGAAACCAATTGACAGATATACAGAAGATAATCCTAGAGCCCTGAGCTTTGAAAGGAATCCACAGAAGTGGATTAGGCACCAACTAGCGGAAAAACCTGAATGAAAACAGTGAGTATAGAGATGGTCGGAGCTGCAGACTGTCAGTTACTCTGATGGGACCAACAGCCTGAATATTTCCAACCGGTGTTGGGACCTCAGAATTGACCTAAAGATCAGCCCTGCTCACCAAGGGCTGCAGGGACAACTGCGCTGGTGGCCTATGAGTAGGAAGGGAAACAGCAAGGAGGGAGACAACCTGAGCTGTTGACTTTCTGCTGTCCAGAGGGCACAGCCATTATGAATGTTTATAAGCGGCAGCCATTTTAGATATTTAAAGTGACTGAAGGTGCAGCCATTTGGAATCTTTACAAGTGGCAACTATTTTGGATTTAAATGTGATAGCATTCTCATTCAGATTCCAGGGACCTAAGAACAGGCTCTGTTTGCCAAGGGCAGCAGGGACATATGAGAGGCTGACAACAGGAAAGGAGACAGGTGGTGAGTATATAAGCGCTGTCAACTAGCAAATAGAGGAACCCAGTACCCTGCTTACGTAGATAACATACAAACAAAACAAAGAAAATGAAAATCGTGGGCAAGTCACTCTAACATTCAGTCACCAATTAAATATAAACACAAAAACATCACAATGCCTCAGAGACAACAGTGCACCACAGTCCAAATAAAGAAGCAAGATAAAGCAGGAGAAACAAGGGACCAGGACACAGACCCAAAACACATCCCTGAGGAAGATGCAGCACTGGAACTCCCTGATAAGGAATTCAAAAGAATTATATTTAGGCATCTTCAGAGAATTGAGAGGCAGATCAAGGAAAACACTGACAAAACTGAGGAAAACACAGAGAAAAACCTACAACAATTTTGAAAGACAATACAAGAACAAAATGACAAAATAAATGAAAAATTAGAAATCATACAAAATCTACACACAGAAATCCAGAAGATTAATACTAAATTTTCAG